ACGGGCTTTACTTTCTTCAGCATAATCGGTCGCAATTGATAAGAATCGCATCGTTTAAAATATCCGAGAACCCTAACTGATCGCGTCAGTTGAACGTACACTAGGAATCACTGATGCCTTCTCACATGAATTTGTGCACGTATCGACACATTTATACATTTTGCATGTACAGGGTGGGGCATAAACACCTGACGGTTCTTGGAATAATCTGAACACTGTGTGCTTGGTCGAAGATTTGTTTTGGTCATGTCTAGGGATACACGGCTGCATGGAGTTTCAGACGACATGCTTCACTGACGGTTTTAGCTTATTTTTTGTTTGTGGTACAGGTTTTTAACACGGTTAGTAGCAGTGGTTATCGTCTGACAGTGCACCGCTTGGAGTTCAGTTGCGAAAAGCATCAGTGATTTCTGGCGTACACTTTCTCTTCCCACGCAGAATATTTTCGGTAGACTTTACATTTCTCTGTATAGATTTTACAGCCTTTCGATCTGAACATATGTTAGGGAGTTGCACAACAGCATGAAAGTTGAATATCATGTGCTATAAGATAAGAGAATAATAACGAGTGTTTTTCTTTTCACAGCAACATGCCTTCCTACAAGCTGACTTATTTCCCCGTCACTGCATTGGCCGAGCCAATTCGATTTCTGCTAAGCTATGCCGACATAGAATTCGAGGACGAGCGTTTCGACAAGAACGATTGGCCGAAACTTAAACCGAGTATGCACAACAGATTAATATTAATAATACATGATCACCTGTCGCCAGCTTATTCCGGCTCGATCGTTCTTCAAATCCGATTTACGAATAGTTGACGTGGCAAAGATATAGCTTTTATATTATCTTCTGGAGCGTCGACTGAACCGTTGCAACGTACTTAACTTTTAAACATATTCAAAGTTATTTTAATGTGAGGACTACGTACAGTTTTATACATAACGAGATGTTTAGCTCTCTTGTGTAGCTCTTCCAAACGATAGAACTGGAAAGGAGTGTTGTTTCTTTCGAAAATAGAACCTTCTATTTCGTGCCATGCAAATGTTTCGTATACAACAATTGATATTGTTATATTCCAATGTTGTGAAGGCTCTCAAAAAGAAATTGTATGGAACGGGAAAAGTGCCAATGTGTGAGCCACAATTGAACGGAAGACGGTTCTCACAAATTTAGAAATAACTTATCTCTTTAATATAAACGTTTCGACCCTGTTTCGGGTCTTCTTCAGTATAACTCGTTAAAATTATGGTTCAAGAATCATTCTTCTATCATGGTCTCATTTTCTTCTCTAAATGTTCCCGGATATAAAGAGGACTGGAGACATGTCGACAGAGATGAATCCGTTGTAAAGGTTTTAACACGACCGAGTCGTGTTAAAACCTTAGAGAAGATTGTCATGAAAAAAAGACTTGCATTGCTAAACTGAGACTTATAAAAACAAATTAAAATTTGGATTGTTAAACAATAACACTTAAAAATGTAATTGTACATTCAATAATGTGCCATGATTAATCGTCAAAACTCTTAATGTATATGTATATATAATATGTATAAATAACGTTCAATTGTAGACTTAAATTTACAATAACCCAAGAGTGTCCCTCGAAACCTTATCAATTTTAACAGCATATTGTATATTCATGTATCCTAATATTATCTTTCAGCTATGCCATTCGGCAAAGTACCCGTGCTTGCAGTAGACGGGAAGAAGATCGATCAGTCCGTAGCTATTTGCCGTTATTTGGCGAAGCAATGCAGTCTTGCTGGCAAGAACGATTGGGAATCTCTTGAAATCGATTCGACCGTCGACACCATACACGATTTACGCACCAGTGAGTAGATAATATTATATCTGCGCTATATTAATCTTTTATTTATCAGGACAGGAGATTTATTTTAAAAAGAGATTTGTATCGCAATTTTAGTAGGTTTACATCTCGATACTGGTCAGATTTATTCCGAAACAATGATGAATAGAGAAGAAACTTGTTTTTAACATCTGCATTGAATTCTATCCCCAGAAATGATTGTCATCTGAGTTGTTATACTTATTTGTCTTATCTTTTTTGTTTGCACCAGATATTGCTGGTTTCCACTATGAAAGTAACGAACAGGCTAAAGAGACGAAACTTAAAACTGCTAAAGAAACAACGGTGCCGTATTACTTGGAGCGTTTGGACGCTCAGGTGAAGAAGAACGGCGGTTACTTCGTTGGCGGTGCTCTGTCGTGGGCCGATCTCTCTTTCGTCGGTCTTTTGGACTATTTGAACTTCATGATGGATGAGGACATCATCGAGAAGTATGAGAATCTGAAACAACTACAAAAGAAGGTCGAAGAAGTACCGGCCATCAAGAAATGGATCGCGAAGCGTCCGCCACCTATGTATCCGAATTAATGCGAATTGCATAAAATGATGATTGAGTTTTCGACAGAATCGATTATTCGTTGGCGGTGATTTGAATAAAATAACGAGTTTTTTTTCTTTGTGAAGTAATTTCTATTTACGCCAGGCTATATATTAGATTCGAGAACTACACATTGAAGTTGCAATTATATATTTTATCACTCGTTGTAGACTTCTTACTCCTATTGTCAAACGACAAATATAAGACTGTAACTGAAACTCGAACAAACTCCATATGTATCTCAATAAATCAATACTTTTACAATTTTTTGTAGACCTCTTTCGTTTTCACGGAGCTTACCTTTTCAATCGTCCAATTTTTTAATAACCCCTCTACGTTCTTTAGCATGTAAAATTATTGGAAGCTAATGCTAGTTATTTAACAAGTAGTTATGATACATCGAAAAATTAAAAGCGTCTTTTTGCTTTTAAAATATTTTTGGATTCTCGCTTTGCGAAATTTTTGCTTGCTTACCTTTGTAGCAAATTTTTCTTAGAGATAATAAGCCATGTCGCCATGGCAAAATAAAAACGTCGAAACTGATGAGGAATATAGAAGTTTAACAACAAACTAATTACTGAACTTCTCGAATGTCGATATACAACTGTTATGAAAATGTAGTAAACGCTAATTTTGTTTCTTGTGACATTTACTGATTTGTAAGTACAACTTGCTGATTCTTACCACTTCGGATCTAAACTTGTCTAGCTAAATCAAATATATAAATCTTGCCTCGATGATCTCTTACACGAAAGCATTTTGTAATCGTCACTTGGCTGTAATAAGCGGTTGGCAAAGCAGTAACACAATAGAGCAGATAGATTACTCGTTTCGTTATTATGATGAAATAATAATGAGATCAATTTGGGAGAATGCAGAGTCGGAGTAATAATGGCGTTTGGGGTATCGCATTAGAACGAAAATGTATATTTGCCTAGAATTATTTGGTGTACGTTCCATTTAGCGTTCGCAATTCTCTTAGAATTATTTCATTCTTTTGTCGACACGAGTTATTCAACCCTCTTCATGTCTGGGACTATTTACAGATTGACTGATTGTAACGTAAATAGAGGAATGATTCTGAAGTCACGTAGTGCTCTGACCTCCTAAGATAAACTTTATTCGATCTAAACGAGGTAACTGATTATTATTGTTGAACCAATATGTATCATAAGTTTTACTGTATTCTCATCTTGTACTTTCGATGATCCCATTGTAGTTTTACTGAGGAAGACCCGAAGAAGGGTCGAAACGATTATGCTATTAAAGAGAAATTTTGTTTCTATATTGTGAAAATCGAGTTTCGTTCATTTTGTGGCTCACATTGGCACTCTCCACTTTCTACGTATTTTATTTCATTCTTGTTGCTTAGCAACCCAGCGAGAAATGACTCGTCGATGTCGAAACGATGTCGACTCGACAGGAAATGTTAAATAAGGACTAATAATACTTATGAGGGTTACGAGCCAAATGGAACCCAGGTAGCATTTTGTCAGGGCGTGGGCCCGAAGTTCGTAAAGGGCCTAGACAGGCATGCCCTAAAATAGGCCAGGCGATGTAGGGCCTAGACAGGCATGCTCTAAAATAGGCCTGCCATCGTTGGGCCTAGATAGGTCCTACTAAGGTAAATTCTTAGTGGAATTTCCTGAACAACAGATAATAAATATAATAAATATAAAGATAATAAATAAATTGCGATACCTCTTATCTGCATCTACTAATCCGTCTGCTGATTTCAAGTGTCGTTATTTGAATAAAGAGAAAAAGTAGACGTGCAGACACGTGATGCTTGAATGA